AAAAAAGAAAAGGCAAGACCTCATAGAACTGGATGCCATAAACACGAGCCATTTCAGCAGTTTTTAAGAACCAGTTCATCTCCGACAGTATTGAGATGTTCAGCAGAGAAAGCTTATTGAGGTAGTTGGCCACTGCAGTACTGAATAAGCGTGAATATTCATACAGTCTAGAACGTAAAAGATTGTACTGGCATACTATTTTGGCTTTGTGCTGACCAGCACATCTTCACAGAGCGTACGATCATCGAATATTGGAAGTCTTCGCTTGAGAATGCATAAAGCAGCTGTTGCTCTGTCATATGCTCTAAAAAGAACGCTTTAAATCTGGTAGTCTTCTAAACAGCAAATATTTACGGCGTAAAAACTGAAAGTAGAAACATTTTACAAGGCAAACACACTTCTACTCTTCCTTATCGCGCAAATTCGCAATAAGCAAAGGTACACATACCACATTAGCGCCTTAATTCAAAAAAAGTGATCAGACTTCCGTATCTATTTCAACTTATTGCTAACACAGATGATTTCGTATTTTTTCAAGCTTACCAAAAGAAGAATATCCCTTATCTAGCAATAATTATTTCTATATTGTACATCCGCCGCGACAGCAAGCATGTAGTTGTAATGGAATTTCGTGGTTAGTGATATTACCTTCGACTCAATTTGCAAGCATAAATTTCCCATTAAATGTCTTTTGATCCGGGTATCATAACAATTAAAGTGAGAAAGTGTATCATGATAGTCCAAATAAACTTTTTGAATCTTCCCAAAATTCTAACACATTTATCTGCAAAAGAAAGCGTGACGAAAGCGTAAAAGCAGCGGAAAATTGGATCTATAAATGTCGGCGTCTCTGTCACAAGACATAGGCTGTGATGCAGCTGATGATAACAGCATATTTACCAGCAAACATTCTCAAAGTGAAGAAAGCTGTCTCAAATGCATTTTCCGGGCTTTTCCCGTAGATGTCGGGATTACCGTCATGATAATAAAGATGCAAAAGTAAGTGTTTCATTTCTAAAATAATATTTCTATTAGATGCAAATTGTTCTGGATGACTTCACAACACGGTGAAGCTTAGCACAATATATCTCCTTCTTTTAATATGCATCTACGGATTCTGCGTAGCTATTTCAAAATGAAGAATAATACTACTGTGCAGATAACAACACCTTAGCTGGAGTTCGGATCGGACTAATTTCCACACTGCCTTCATCAGACGGCCACATGGGGGTTCAACATCATCAGGAAGATCGTAATGCCGATCCAGGGGTGTTCTGTGACCTAAAAACATAGTTAAATATTATTGACAGCGAAGAGTCTTTCCACGAAATCCTTTCAAAAATCTGGAAGAAGATGATCTGTAGTCAAATTGTAAATTCCAGCACATAACTCTTGGATAGCGTCCAATATTTAAATAAAAATTCAACAATCCAATTGCAGTGGCTCTCCTCAGAGCGTAGCCCCAAGAAAGGCGCACAGTGTCGTAGCCAAAGAGCATGTCCGGGTCAGATCTAAATTACCGTAAACATTTCGTCAGATATATATTATGCACACATTTGTTGTCGGCACAGATTTTTTTGTCACACACCGAGCCTAGCGTAGATAATTGGGTGTACAACTAAATTCGGTCCGTTTTTTTTTACTTGAAAAACGCATTTATTTGAATCATAAAATGAATCAATACCTTATTCAAAGTATTGGCCATCGCTAGC